CAAGTGTTCCTTATATTTTTCCAAGGGAATGTCACACATCCTTATCTTAATCCACATTCAGTGTTGAACTATTCACTACACATTCCTTATATTCCCTTGCATTATTTATTTACTTGGTAGGTTTATATCCCATCTCATTTTTATAGTTCTAACAAACCTATGGGGTTGGGCTGTGAAAGGGCGATTGCTCCAAATTCACCCAAACTCACCCTGTGAATTTCTATGGCTATTTCTATTATTTGCATCTAGATCTCCCCAATTCTCATCCTGCATTTTAGCCATTGCCCACTGTAGTTCTCTTTTCTAAGAATGCTTACAAGCAGCTTTATATATCCTGGGGGTATTCTTGGAAATATCGTAAAAATAAAGCTAGACTTTTCTGTTTCTGCATTGTGCCATGCCAGATTCCTAATCACTTTTTTAATTAAAAGAATCTTTTAAAAATGAATGGAACTTAGAGCCTGTTGAATCACAAGAGATATGTTTGTAGGTACATCATTACTTGTGGAAATTGCATTGCACATTTGAAGAACCTTATATTGAATTATGCATTATAAATTTTAAGACACAATAGATATTAAATAGGCAAGTACCGTCAATGGTATATGACGCAGGCTAACTATCTAAAATACTATATAAATGAATATCAAACTAGTGTTGGAAATGTGAAAAGGAAGAGGGTTTTTTTTTTATCATGCATGGTGACTTGTGAAAAAGCAAAAAAGTGTAAATCCATACAATGATGCAGAAACTATTGCAGACTAATATGATGAAATCAGAATTAACTGTATTTCTACAGGATTTTATGTACAAGGAATTAAAAAAGAAATAAAGGAAATTAATATTTTTCATGGTAACTATGGCAATTGTTGTATTATAAAACTTGGAAAAGCAAAGAAATGCCTACAGTGAATTATAAAATTATCTGAACTTGCAAAAATGGCACGGCTGACCAATTTGGTCAAAGAAAAAAATGACAAAAGATTTTTTTGAAAAGCTGGAAGGCACTATTGTATAATTTATTTTTTTAATTTTTAATTTATTTTTCATTTTCACATATTGAAAAATTATTTTACATACATATACACACATCCACACTCACACCCACAAAAGTACTTGTGTGTGTGTGTGCGTGTGTGCGCGCATGTGCGCGCACGCGCCAAAAGCAAACTTATTCCTACTATTCTCATTTGGTTTTGTTTGAATATTTACCTAAGAATGCTTGTGGTAGACAGGCTAGGTTCTTGCTATTTCTGGAAATACTGTATGCATAATTATGCAAACATTGCTATTCCATAAGTACTTGAAATCAAGGTTTTTAACAATGATCTCTTGAATTGGCCATATTAGCTGAATTTGCTCATGAAACTAAGCTATAATGGCAGGGTTGAATAATTTATGCAAAGCCATGATAGAGTTGATTTTAAAGTTTTACATAGTATGTTATGAGAATCTTTGCAAACTAGGCCCTCATGGATTGTTCAGTGCTTATGAGGTAAAGTCCATTTTTTAGCTTTATGTATGAATTTTCCTGCATGTTAGTCTCATGTGGAATATACTACATACCTTTTAGGAACGGGTATATGAAATCTAAAGAGAACAGAAATCCAGATAGCTGCACAAAGGATATGGTGCAGAAATAAATGTGGTGGGAGTCATAGGAAAACTTGCAATTCATCTACACAGAAGAGTTCCTTCTTCTATAAAGAATTTTATTATTAAAATTTGTGTCTAAGAGAATTCAGATTTACATTTAATTTCTGTGGCACTATTGTATGCAAGTACAATTTAAGTATAGAAAGTTTGATGTTGAAATAAGTTTTTATCAATCTATGTTTGATTTAAAATAATGTTGCAAAGGAATTAAGTATTAATCTATATCATAGCGCCCTGAAAGCTCTTTTTCCAAGACATATTTAATCTTATTCGTAACGTATGCTATATCTTACTCTTGATTTTGCTTCAAGATCTTAGTTCTTAAATGTTTAATTCTTTTGCACCATACTAGCATACATTAGCTTAAATGTGTTATGCCTGCTATAGTCATTCCTTAGTTGGTATTTCCTGTTAGATGTTATCCAAAATTTTCCTGTGTTCCACTAGGAATATCCAACATTTATAATTTATCTCTTTTCCATCCTACCAGGCAAGAAGAGACTTGATTTTTCTTGTTGTCCAGCAAATAGTTTATAGAACTGTGCATGGGGGGGGGATTACCCCGTATACTGTATTTACATAATCCTAACAAATGGAGTTAAATGAACATCCTTAACAGAGGAAATGTCTAGAATTGACAGTAACAATCTTCCTTTGATATGCCAGTAGGAACAAGAGGATTGCCAATAATGCTTGTGAACTTGTAAACAATAATTACAACATATGTACATGTTGACAGATGTTGCATAATATGCCAGAGTTGGTGAATTGTTTTTATAATGCTTTTCAACAAATAAATCAACTTCAGACTAGCAATTACTATCCTGCTAGGATCCCCCAGTAAAAAAACAAAATCCTTATGTTGAAATAATTATATATAAGCCTGGTCATAAACATAGAAAATATATTATGTAAGGCAAAAGGGAAGACATCTCTTTCTCCAGATATTGATCAACGGCATCTTCTGGTTGCTGGAGTCAACATGACCATTGGTGAGAGATTCTGATATCTCTAATTCTTCATTCTGGAAGCCACAATAGGTTCCCATGTTTGCTGCAAATAGGATATAAAATGGTCTCATTTTTTAATTCTGATTTTGCTTATTTATTTGAAGCACATTTTTTTTCAAACTTAGGATAATTTATTTTTTACATTCCAATCTCTGCTTTATGGCTATAGCTTTATTAAGCCAAGGACACAAAACCAGGCTTTAGAAATATTCTGATCTCTTCCCCAGCACACAAGATTTCAGAGTTGGAGAAGGAGTTAGAGGTAGTGGCTTCTGAGGTTTCTGGAATTAAAATAAGTAAATAAATTATTCCTGAAAATAGGAAGTCTGATTGTATAGAAATCACTTTATTCTTATGCAAAAGACAATGTTCCTTAGGTAACAAAAGGAGGGAGAATTAGTGGATAGTTTTGTGGTAACAAAGTTGGATCCTGGAAATAATTTTACCTAGTAGGTAAAGGGGGTTGTTGCTATTATTACTACTATTATTTTACATTTATTGGTCACCCAACTCCAACTGACTCTGGGTTATACCTCTTCAGAGAATGCAGTATTATTCCTGCTTCAGATGGCATAACATTCCTTTTTCCATATATAATTTCTCTGCAATTATGCAGATGATTGTCATTAAACTATTACTTATAGTTCAGAAATCTATATAAGTAATTAATTTATCACGGTCACATTGTAATATCCTAAAATGTTCAGAGTTTATTATTTGCAGCCCAAGATCACCCCCCCCCAAAAGACCCAATCCCACAATAAATATAGTAAAATAATTTTTTAAAAACGAAAATCCTGAGATAATGAACAACTAACAACAGCATTTGGGAGGAACAAGATGGTTTCTAAGAGTTATAGCTGTTGGATAAAAATGTTGCAACTTTCTTAGAAGTTTCTGAAAAGTGGTCACCCAAAGGAAGGATAATGGTATTCTGGTCACAGTGACAATTTTAAATGAATAGCTATTGGGAAAAGTAAGTTCAGTTGCCAGTGGTACATTTTAATAGCACATGTGAAATAGATTCTATGTACATGATTGAATAGAAACAAGCCAAGCATGGCTTTTATATGGGAGAATTATTTCTACCAGTTGTTGCCATAATAGGTAATATGCCAATTAGACCAATAGTATAGAATATTGAAAAAAAAAATCAGGGACAGTCCAGGGAAAGGAGGGAATTATTTTATAAAAGAGGTTGCATATCTAGATTGAGCATCTAATTTAACAGAAAAATAACACCACTAATTTAGCAGGTTAAGATGGAAGCTGTTGAGATTACTGAACAGTGCAATCATGTGCATATCTTCTCAGAAGTAAATAACATTGGATTTGTTGCTCTTCGGATGGGTGAATATATGATATAAGGCTAAAATGGTAAATAAAATCCATATCAGCACTATAGGCCTTGCAGCAGGATGAGCAACAAACAAATATAATAAATAAATGTATTTATTTATTAAGTGAATAAGTATAAGTGAAAGTCCAAGATGCATTTTTGCATGCATTGTACTTATGCTGAATTTGATACATTGAATGCCTGTGAGTTCTTCATAGCAACACCCTCAGTTTCCCAAAAGATAAAGGGCGGGGGCTTGGTTTTGATCATGGTATGTTTAAGTGGAAAGAATTTCTGTTTGGGTAGATTATTTTTGATGTTTGCCATTTTGCTACCTCCTTTTATAATACTGTGGTGGCAAATCTTTAATACTTGAGCTGCGTTCTGATTTGTGTGTGCTGTGCAATCTGCTAAAAAGGTAGATTCTGGATCCAAGTCCTTGTTCCTTTCATGCTAATAAAAACTGTTTTTCTAACACTGTTCTAGTCTCTTTAAGGAAGATGTTACGAATAAAGCTCTATCAAGATACAAAGTGTCTCAGTGATCAAATATTTTGTGTCAGTAATAGACGTTCCTTTCCCCATTTTTATTGGCAATATCATAGTTAAGACCCGAGCTCTTTCCTTTCAGAGGAGAGCAGAAATTACTAGTTAGGGTTTGTTCACAGATTTTAAAATGTTTAGTTGATAGATTTATTTACCAAAATATCAATCTTGGTGCCTTCTTTGATTTTCTTCTTTTCTTTGATTTTCTGGAATAAAATCTTGCAATATATGATTTATAACATTAATGTTATAAACATTACTTATAAACATAAATGTTATAAACAATTAAAACATTAACTTTATACAACATTTTGTAATTAAGTCTGCCTTGAAATGAAATACTCTTTTGACTATTTTAATTTCCAATTCACATGGTGCACTTTCTCAGTGAGGAGGGATGAGAACTAATTCAGCAACTGATTTAGTGTGATTTCTTGTTTTTCTTCAAAGGGCCGAACCAAGAAGAAACCTGCCCCATTGAAATATGACGCTGGAGATCTTGTATGGGCCAAGTTCAACAGACGTCCGTGGTGGCCCTGTAAAGTTTGTCATGATCCTGTATTAGATACACATTCAAAAATGAAAGGTAATCTGTTCATGCTGCATTATACAATTTTGTATAATGAACATCATTAAGTACGTGGCATTTTGTAAATGATTTATTTGCACGATCAATTGATAGGGAAGAAATAGAAACACATTACTAAGCTAATCATACTTGTAATGAATAAGATTTTCTTAATGGGGAGAAGGGAAGTACAGAATATTTGTTACATAATGAAAGGGTTTGTTTTGAGTGTGGAACAAGTTCAGAAGAGTCCAAATTTCCAAAGCACCCAAACGCCAGACAAAGGAACAATGGATAGAAATTGATCAAGGAGAGATTCAAGCTAGAAATAAAGAGAAATTTTCTGACAGTGAGGACAATTAACCAGTGGAACAGCTTGCTTTCAGAAGTTGTGTGTGTTTCATCACTGGAGGCTTTCAAGAAGAGACTGGACAGCCACTTGTCAGAAATGGTACAGGGTCTCCTGCTTGAGCAGAGGTCTGAACTAGATGACCTACAAGGTCCCTTCCAACTCCTGTTATTCTGTATTTCAAATAGCTGTTTTGAGGTCAAAATATTCTTGAACAGAATATTTCTATCTCCCTGAGTATTATGCTTATGATTGCAGTCATGCAGCAAAATTTTAAACTGATCTATTTTGACTTTAGCTATTTATACATTGGATTTTTTTTAAAAAAAAAATGCATTTGAAGATATTTATAACTATAATCCTATGCAGAACAATTGTTTCTATTTTTTCAGTTCTTAAGAATTCTTCAAATGCAACTACTGAGGCATTTTTAAAGTGCATATCTTTAAAAATAAAGTTTGCAGTAGAAGAGGGCAGCAGAACAATCATAGTTAAGGGGATATTTTAAAAAATCTAATTGCAGTATATACAGACCTCAACTTATTCGTTTAGCAGCTGTTTGATGTTACAATGGAACTTTAAAAAAAAGCAACTTATGACAAGTTCTCACACTTGCAACCATCATAGCATCCCAGTGGTCACATGATCAAAATTTGGGTGCTTGGCAGGTGGCATGTATTTATGACAATTGCAGTATCCCAGGATCACATGGTTGTCACTTGTGTTCTTCCCAGCTGGCTTCTGACAAGCAAAATCAGTGAAGGAAACCAGATTTGCTTAATGATCATGCCACCTTTTAAAGACAAATATTTGTAGCTCAGAGTTGAAATGAAGGGTTCCTGATGCTGTCTGAGCTTGGTTCTTTTCTTGCAGATGTTTCATTACCCAAACTAGGCAATGTCATCAGTGCAAGTGATGAACGTCATTAATGATATTATCTTCATTTGGGTAAATGTCTATGGAGATTCTCAATCATCCAGATCATGATTGTCCCAAAGAACAGGAAAGTCCAGTTGCCTTTTGGAGAAAGCATCTTTGGGATTTCATTTGGGTAATGTCTGCAAGAAAACAGCCAAGCTCAGAACTCCTCATAACAGCAGCAGAAGTTCCAGTCCCAGTTCTGGTCTTTAAGTTGAGGACTACCTGTAAAGGAGAAAAGGAAATAGGGAAAAAGTTATCTCTTTACTCCTAGTTAAGTGTTATTAAAGAATAACGCTAGGGAGGAGGAGGAGGAGGAGGACATACAGATATAGCCATCTAATAATAATGAAAAGGGGAGTGGGAAGGATAGAGATTCCTGGGATGGATGTTTCATTCTCCCAATTGCAGCTCATTTTTTCCAAACCCTCCCTTCCCCACACAAATTCACCAATTGGAAAAGAAGACTTACTGTTTCCATTGGAAGGCATTTTTTAAAAAATTAATGGCCACAAGGAAAGAGCAGTTTTTAAGGTTTCTTGATGGACAAGGAAAAAAGGGTTAACTTTGTCCTCCCTCCTGTCCCCAAAATGGTTTGCTCTACTGCAAATAGGAATTAGAGGTCCTCTAGTGTTGCTGAATACTGCTCCGTAGTCCTCCTCATTGGCCATGTTGGACTGCCAGGAGTTGTGGTTCAGCGGTTCCTGACCTTGCACGGATTCACCACTTCTGGCTAATAGGGGCAGCTGAAGCTTAATATGGGGAAGAAGGAAGCTCAGATGACCTGTGAGTGAACCACCATAGACTGACGGCATCTTGCTCATAAAATAAAGCAGTAGCTATTGAGATGTATTTATTTATTAGATTTCTATTCTGCCTTTATTATTTAAAAAAAACAATTCAAGGTGGCAAACACATACAATATTCCTTCCTCCAACAATTTTCTCCATAATAACAGCCATGTGGTGTGGGTTTGGGCTGAGAGAGAGAGTGACCGACCCAAACTCACCCAGCTGTTGTCATGCCTAAAGTCACAGTCTCCTGTTTTTAGGCCAGCTCCTTAATCAAATTGGCTCCTTTAATTTCAGAGATAAGCAGCTTCTATTAAAATTAAGGAGCCTCTAGCAACATTGGGATTGCTTTGGAGCAATCCTTAGGATATTTAAAGAAAGAAAGGCTTATTCGTTTGGTTTACTTCTTTTAATAGTGAACTTTGAAGCCACTAGGGAAAAAGTTGAAAGGTATCAAAAAGTGCTGAGAATGGTGAAGTTTAATGAAACACATTTTTAAATATACAGAGAGTGAAATGGGTTCTTACATCCTACATGGGTGGTGGTTGTGGGGTTTATGGGTTCTTACATTGTGAAACTTTAATCATGTAAATTACCTGAAGTCATATTTATTAAATTTGTTTGCTACCCATCTTACTGCAAGGTGACTCTGGGCAGATTACAACAATTAGGAGTTAGGTGGCTATATAAATTTGTTAATTAAATTAAATTAAATTAATCACAGACAAAAAATCATTGTTACTGGTCATTAAATGTTCTGGGGATGTATGTTTGGAAAGTCTAATGTATTTCCCTTGAGCTCTTGATTCTAAAAGAAAGCTGGCAGAAATCATGCAAATGACCTATAAGGAAATGAACATGCATCTCAATAACTTGTTTTAGGCTCCATTTGCTAAACCTAAATTGGCAGTTTCAGGCTGTTCTTTTCTGAACTTAGTACAAAATGTAAATACAGCTAATTTTATTTCAATAGTTACTAACCGCAAGCCATATCGAGAGTATTATGTGGAAGTATTGGGTGATCCGTCTGAAAGAGCCTGGGTGATAGGAAAAGCTATTGTGATTTTTGAAGGAAGACATCAGTTTGAAGAACTACCTGTCCTTCGGAGAAGAGGGAAACAAAAAGAGAAAGGTTACAGGCACAAGGTAAATCTCTTGTTCTCATGCCTACTGTGTTTAGACTTCTTGCTCAAATATAGCACATAAGTAAGGATTCGGCCAAATTATGAACTATTGTTGAAAGAAGCATAGATTGCCATTGAAATCACTTGTATAAATACCTTGTTGAAATTAGTAGGATCTCAGTTTTATTTTGATTATGGCCATAACGTTTCAAGCTGTAATCATGGATATAATTTGAGACTTGAAACTTGTTAGTATAGTAATGTTTTTATGTATTGGCATATTCACAGAGCTGCCTAAAATGGATTAGAAAGTGACCTTTTTCCTTTTCTTTTTTTAATAAACCAGTAGAACTGATAATTTAGATAACAGGTCACAGTATTTCTAATGATGAAGCATTTGCATTTGAAGTGCAGGTATAGAATAAGATGACCAGGGTGGGACTTATTTTAGAATAATGGTTTCAGTAAGAACTTGTCTATTTCTGGTTCCTAGCCCTGCATTCCTTTTTCCAATTCTGAAGTGCTATTATTAACTATCCGGGGGATTGTTTCATTTGAAGTACTCCAGGCTGACCAATGGAATCCTTAACAATTCCATTAGGCTTCACTTAGAATCAGTATTTGTCAGGTTACCTGAAAAAATGCTGCTCAAATCTGAATTGTAAATTTTGTTATACATTGCAAATAAACTTTGTGAAGGAAAGTATGGTAATCTCTGAATGTGATGCTATCCTTTGCATATACGTATTTATTTTCTAATTTTCTCTTGTCCTGTCTTCATTTACTTTAAGGTTCCTAAGAAATTTATGGCTAAATGGGAGATCAGTGTCGGCCTTACTAGTGAATATCTTAAGCAGAACGGCATGAAAAAGTGTATCCGGACTTCTAGCAAATTGGAGAGCGTCCATTTAATGGGATCGTGTAAAAAGGATTCCTTAAACGAGCAGAGCAGGCATCTGAATGGATGTTTGAAACCATTAGCATTTGATTCTAAACATTTCTCCCATGACAAAGGGAAAACATTCACTAAATCACAAATGAGGAAGAACTCTGATGCAAGGAAGGGGAGTAGAATAAAAAAATGTAGCACTAAGAGAGAGTGTGAAGGGAAAGTGCCAATGAGCAAAGTTAAAAGTACAATTTTTGAAAACATGCCAGATAAGCAGGCATCTCATGAACTTTGCAGAGCAGCAGAAAGCCTTATAGGTTCCAAATGTACCGTGGAAAACTACTTGCTCTCTTCCTTTGGGGAAAGGCAATTTGAAAATAAATCTAAGAAAGCAGATTACGACATCTTTCAAAGAGACTGCCAACTTGAACCCCCCAAAATAGATTTGAAGAAAAAGAAAAGCCCCTCCGGCTTCATGTCGAGTTCAAAACAACAGCTGCCATATTCTGGAACTGAGGGTGGAAATGAGAGAGAAAAAGAAATGGACTCTGATGGTATCTGCGATCTAGAGCCTCTTGACCAAAGTATTGCAGCAGCATGTAGAGATCTAAAAATTTGTGACTCTATGAACAAAACAGGAAGGGAACTGTCTTTGGGGCAAAGAAGCATTAAACGTCCTGTATCTCTCCCCAAAAGTAGTAACAGAAATCAGAAACCTCTGGAAGGCTCCTTAGATAGGGATACCAAGGTTGAAACAGGAGGTGAGCAATTCCAGCAGCCATCCTTCGAAGCTGAGAGGAAGGCATCTGCTTACAGGAAGGACAATCTTACCACGGTAGATAAGCACACTACACTCCAAAGTAAAGGGTTTACAAGTCACATGGATATTAAACAGCTCCAGTTCAGAACTATAAAATGCAAACATAAAGGATCTGCTGCTGCCACAGAATCATCTCTTAAGAAAGAGGAATGTCTGCCTGACTGCTGCTTTTCTACTACCAAAAGTGCTCCTGGGTTTCAATTAGATACACCTGCCAAAAGTGGGAAGCTCGATGGCTCTAAACTGCCAAACAGTACTAGAGAGAAATCTTGTGATTCTGCTGAAATAGAAACAGCTGTTGTGAAACACGTGCTTTCTGAACTGAAGGAGCTGTCCTATAGGTCCATGAATGATAAAGCTAAAGACGGTGGGTCACCTAAGTCTGCCGTGCCCTTACTCTTTTCATCTGTCTCGGGGCAGAATCACTTGCCAATTGAGCCTAATTACAAATTCAGCACCTTATTGATGATGTTGAAAGACATGCATGACAGTAAGACAAAAGAGAAACAGATCATGACTACTCAGAACATTGTCTCCTACAGAAGTTCTAGCAATGGTGAAAGTAGTGGAAGTGATACTCCGAGTGATTTGACGTCTTTGACTACCATGGGAGCAACTCCTAAAATAGAAAAAAATCAAGACAGTGTTCAAGAACCAGAATGTCATGAACCCAAAGAAGGTCAGTCCTCTTTTTCACATGCTATCACAACCAAGTTGATCAGTCTTGGTGCTAAAAAAAGGGAACTCACAAATACGGCTGTCCCTGATACACGCTGCACCGCAAGGCGCAGCTATCCAAAATCTAAGCACCTATCTAAACTAATAGTTAACACAACATCAAAGAGCAAATCATTAAAACATTTATTCAGTACAGCAGAAAGAGTGTCCCACCAGCATAGAGCTACCCAAAGCTCAGTTGCTAGATCTCTAGACAGAACCAAGGAAGATTTTGCAAGGAAAGTACCTTGGGAGTTGGTGCGACACTCCCCTGGTGAAGACTCTTCAAGTTCCTCTGATGGCAGTTTAGTTCATATAAAAAAGAAGTCAGAATCTGGTAAAAAGAAAGAGAGCTACAGGCCCTTTGAAAAGGGGGAGTGCCTAGAGTTGGAAAGAGGACTGAATAGAGAAGGCTCCATGGGGGATGAGTCTAAAGATGTAAGCCACGTAGCACCCAAAAAGCGATGGAAGCGTTTTAACCAAAGCAGTTCTAAAGCTGGTAAGCACATCAGTAGCTCTAGGGAAGCAGAAGGGGAAATATTTTGGCCATCTTTGGCTGGTACTGAACGAAACAATTTTGACGGAGTGGGAGACCTCTCCGTGCTTTTCAGGGTGATTAAATAAGACCCCTAACGGGCAACGTTTGTGAAAACCTTTTATCTGAGTAATGTTTTCTTGTTTATAATAAGAACTGCAAGTCGGTGGTTTGATTTCCTATATCTGCAGGTGGGGTTTACTGTGAAATCCTGAAGATAAAAATCATTTTTAGAAAGGTAGACTAGAACTTGGTTCTTTGACATCTAATTTTCCAGGATAATTCTCTGTTAATACAATAAACATGCTGTAAAATGTGTGCCCGTACAGGTAGTTTGAAGTGGTATATCTGTTAAATTACTTTCATTGTCTCATAGGTTGTGAGAACTTGGTGTTGCAAGGATAATTAACTAAGCTAATTTTGACAGGAGAGAAAATCTTAGGAGAATATTGAGGTCATATATTACGTTGTATTGAATTCTTTCAGCACTTCCCTTCTTTTGAGCTTAATTTAGGCTTCTAATTTTTAGAAGTTAAATCAGCAACTATCCCAATAAATACATTTAGGATTTTTTTTTTATTTTGCGAAAGGACATTATTTTCAAATGTGGAATTAAGCCCAGCTGTACTACAAGTGATTCAAAATGGTGGGAATTTTAGTGTGTCTGTTGCTGACTCCTACACACAACTAGATGGTATAAATAAATCTATTAGAAATAAAAATTTGGTTTATATGTGGCAAGCAGTGTAAGGTGTAGAATGGAGTGTATTAGGCCTAGCATATCTGGGCTACACATACCCAGATGACAACTAGGTAGATGGCAATAATTCTGAATCTCTTTGCTGCTATCTAGGTTTGCCTCAATTTTTGCAGTCCAGGGATAATACGTCTAGTCTGTATCATTTCAATCCGTGGACTGTAAATTGTATTTTTAAGTATTCCCTTATTCATGTCCAACCTTGGGTTACCTGTTGTTATGCTGTTCTCCGAATCTTAAATAGTTGCTCAAGTCCTGCCAGACTATAATAATTAATGTGACAGAATAGAAGTATTATTTAATGTATGAGAAATTAATTTATTAACTATAGTTTATCTGAATAACTCATGCTTACTTGAAGAACCTCTGCAAATAGGCAATCAGAATAGAAAACAATGGGCTGAAGTACAACTATCCTATTCTCATATAGTAGTATGTATTTTATGTCCTGCTTTGTTTTAATTGAGGAAGCATTGAAAACAAAATCTCCACCGGAGGTTAAAATGGTATAATAACCCATGTTCCCATTTCAGTAATGTGTCACGTGGAGGTAGGTTGAGATCTGAAGGTACAGAATGCAGGATAAAGGTCAGTTATAGTTTGGTAGTGCCAAAGATATTAATTTGTAACTTCTTTATGTATAAAATGTATACTCATACATATGTGCTTATATGAATAAGGTTAGGAATTAAGGAGGTTGCTATCATAAACTGCATCTCCCTCTCCTGTTTTATAAAAAGTAAATTAACCACACTCATAATTAAATTGCTCCCAAATATGACCTCAGATTTAGTCTAATAGTTCCACTTCATATCGAAAATATGCAATATGCATAAAAACAGATATTTGATTAAAATTTCATCATATAGGTTGATGTTTTAGTAGAACAGGTAATATTGCAAGTAGCTGATCCTGCCTAACAATAAGTGAGTTTCTGCACTTTTTAACCTAATGTAGTGTTTGGAGGTAGCTACTTGTACATTACATTGGTTTTGTGGGCTCAGCATTAGTTACAGTATCAATAGAGTTCTAGGTGGATTAACTGTTGATTTTAATTTATAAAATCCATATAGCTTGGGAGTTGGATACAGAATCAACTACTTCATATGCAGCTTGTTGATCCAATGTGCACACCCTGGGTAGGAACCCTAAATGGAGAGAGGAGAATTTCAATACTTCTAAGATGGTTGAAAGGTTTACCATAGTCAGTGGGATTGACCATTGCTGAGAAGTCTTAAACAGTCAAGAGGGACGCAGTTCCCCTCATCCAGATTGTTGCAGATCATCCCATGAAGTTTCTGCTACTTGCTCAGATCTGAATTCTGACTGAAAGGAATCAGATAATCCAGTTTGTTTTGGGCATAAAGTACTATTACAGCCTTCCCCAGAACTGGGAGTTTTAATAATGGATAATAGTTTTCTAACACGGCAAAATCAAGGGAGGGCTCCTTCATGAGCAGGGGTATCACCACTTTTTTCAAGGAGGATACTAATCCTTCACCAACCTTGGCTTACCTCCCTGACACAGCTGATAACCCCTCATCTTCTTCCTGAAGGGACCAGGTCAGGCAGGATTTCCATTCACTGTGGGAGAACTGATACTCTCCATTTCACCACAGTGCTCAGAATGAAATGAACTATGGATAACATTGCAAGACACTTACCTCTGTTACTTCCATCGATTCTGTCCTTTTGACAACTAGTTTTGAGCAAGTGTAATTTTATTGGCAAAATGTTCTGGGCTTGTGGGCAGATTTTTCCAACTCTTGCTACACAAAAGGAAGTGGGTCATACTGCAGGGAAGTCTGTCAGCACAATAAAGACAGATAAGAATACTTCACCACACTTACCACTATGGCATAAACTCAAATATGAGCTTGTATGGGTTTGTTTAAGCCCATTCCTATCTTCCTTCATCAATGCTCCTGGTGTTTCATTTTGCAGAACTTAGTAAATTGCTGGGCACCTTGGGATGAATGAGCAGGAGAGAGAGCACTCAAAAGCCATATTGTCAAGCACCTTGGTCAGTTGAAATCCATAAAGTATTAGGGTTCTCCTACTCTGCAGAATTTTGAGGTGATGATTAATGTTAGGCACACACCAGTGGCAAAGACTACTAATCTCATCCTCAAGCATAGATTACCAGCAGTTGCTCCAAGGTGAATACTTGATATGATGGGTGACTGCGTACATCTATCAGACCAGACATTTATGTTGGATGCAGATATTTTCAACTGTTTTCTTTTTGTCTCCACTACATCATCATCAAAAAATTTTGCTGTATAAGCTAGAGTTCAGTAGCATGGCAATTGTGGATACCATAGCATATGGGATTCTAGCCAGGAGTAAGAGTAACTCCTAACAGGCAAACTTTGAAGACAAAATGGTAAAGCTACTAGCTGCATCCTATTTGTTTTCTGGACTTATGGGGCTAGGGGGGATGCAGATGGAATCCTCTCTGAAGAAGTGAAATTGATGTTTAGAGGGAAAAGATACATAACCCCCCCCAAAGAAATAAGAGTTTGTGATGATGATGATGATGGTGGTGGTGATGATGATAAGAAGATGGTGATATTGTTGAGCTAGGAAACAATGTAAGATTCTATCCCACCCCCATTGTTCCTTTTTGAAGTCTGTGAAGCTGTTTCTCTTTTCTCTCAGTTGTAAATGCAGAGAAGAAGCGCCTTAGAAAACCAAGTAAGAGGCTTCTAGAATATGCAGAGGAATATGATCACATATTTGCATTGAAGAAGAAGAAAAAGACTCAGGAATCATTTCAAAAGGTGGGTGTTGAATTAAACTAGGAATTTATGAAAATGGGGAAAACCTATTTTTTTTCATGCCTAAAAAATTAGGATTAGAATTCAAAATCGGAGCAAGGGTCTTGAGTGGGGAGAAGCAATTTCCTCTTCTGACTGCAGTTTCTGATTAATGTGTAAATATACAGGTAGTCATTTGGTGACTGCCTCATTTAGTGACTATTCATGGGACAATGATGAAAAAATAACTTTACAACCAGTCCTTGCATTTAACAACTTTTGCAAGTCTGTAAAGCAAAGAAAAGCTGAAGAAAGATTATGAGCACACTCTTGGTTTCACTTAGTGATGGCTTTGCTTAACAACTGAATTGCTGGTCCCCACTGCAATAAACAAGAGCTACCGTATTTATTCGAGTATAACGCGCAAAATTTTCTACCCAAAAAAGGAATCAAAGTTTGGGTGCGCGTTATAAACGAGGTATCACTCTCCATCCGTCGGCGCAGGAACCTATAAATGCCCCCGGAGTCCGGCCCCACCCCTCCCTGGGAATAGTCCTGTAGGGCCCTCCGCGGCTTCCGTTTGCTGGCTTCTGGGCTCTCAGCAGGTTCACGGTGAATGGCGGGCCTCTGCATGCTCCCCGCCTCGCCCTCGCGCTGGGCAACGCTGCCTGAGGTCTCTGCGGCTCGAGCGAGGTAGGCAGCGGCGCGGAGGGGAGGGGGGGGTGGGCCGTTCTGCTGCTGGGAGGCTGCGGCAGTGCTCGGCTGCTTCTGCGCTCCCGTCTGCGGCTCGAGCGAGGGAGGCAGCGGCGCGGAGAAGCGAGGGGAGGGGGGTGGGCCGTTCTGCGGCTGCGGCGGTGCTCGGCTGCTTCTGGGCTCCCAGCGGGTGAATGGCGGGCTCCAGCGAGGTAGGCAGCAGCGCGGAGAAGCGAGGGGAGGGGGGTGGGCACGAGGGCTGGGGTGGGGTGACGCTCACGCGAAGGCGAAGAAAAAAACACATCCCCTCGTCGCGTACAGGGGGCAGCCCGAACTGGCGAGATGCACTTCCCTTTCCTGTTAGATGGCAACTCAGGGTATGAAGAGAAAACGTTCTGCATATGACGCTTCATTCAAGCTCAAAGTTGTTGATCATGCTGAAATTCACGGAAATCGAGCAGCTAGCCGAGAATTCACTGTACCAGAGACGAATGTTAGAGAATGGAGAAAACAGAAAGTCGTCCTGAAAGATATGAATAAAACCAAAAAAGCACAACGAGGGAGACAAGCCATGTACCCAGACATGGAGAAGGAACTTTATGAATGGATCATTGACCAAAGAAGTAGTGGGTTCATCGTCACATCACTCCACATTAGACTTCAAGCCCAAAAGTTTTGCAAAGATTCAACCTTCAAAGCCTCTAATGGATGGACACAAAAGTTTATGAAAAGGCATGGACTTGCAATACGCCAG